TCTCTCTCTCTCTCTCTCTCTCTCTCTCTCTCTCTCTCTCTCTCTCTCTCTCTCTCTCTCTCTGGTCTTTCCGACCAGACTCTGCATCCCTGTATCCCTTTATTCTTCACACTGCCATATCACAGACACAGAGAAAAAAAAAAACATAAAAATATAACTCCAAACAAGCCGGATTCTCAAAGATCCTTCACCTCCCAAGCAAACCTATATCCGCAATTCAGACGATGACTAAGGGAACACCTACTTCGCCAACCAGAGGAGCGCTTCCTCCGTCAACAAATCTTTCCGAGGCATCCGGGAGGGCGCGTGACGTAAGGCCAAGACGGAGGGTAGAAACGTAAACATTCGGGGGTAAACATCGGCTTGTACTGTCGTGGTCAGCAGTGTCGGGGTGGGGGAGGTTGGGAGGGAAGAGGGGGAGGGAGGGGGTGGAGGAAAGGGTGGGGGGAAGAGGGAGAGGGGATGGAGGAAAGGGTGGGGGGAAGAGGGAGAGGGGGGGGAATGGGTGGAAAAGGGAGAGAGAGAGGAGGAGGGAAAGGAAATGGGATATGAAGGAAAGCGAAGGGGTAGGATGTAGGAAGGTTGGAAGAGAGATGGAAAGGGGGTAGAGTAGGAAAAGGAGGAGGGAGAGGAAAAGGGAGGGGGTAGGATGGAAGAGGGGGGAAGTGAAGAGGAAGGATGGGCGGAAGAGGAAAAGTAGGGAATGGGAAGGAGAGGGAAAAGGTGGAAAGGGGTGAAGGAGGGGGAGAAAGACGGAGGGAGGGACATATTATAAAGAGGAAAGAGGAGTAGGAGTGAATTAGATATGGGAAGAGAGAGAGAGAGAGAGAGAGAGAGAGAGAGAGAGAGAGAGAGAGAGAGAGAGAGAGAGAGAGAGAGAGAGAGAGAGAGAGAGAGAGAGAGGAGAACGAGGGAGGGAAGGGCACTAGGGAGGGAGATACGAAAAGGATACGTATGTATGTATATAGGTATGTATATATGTATGTATATATGTATGTATATGTGTATGTTTATGTATAAAAGTATGCATATGTGTAGGTACATATTATATAATCTGTGGTTTAATCATTCTTGCAATATTCCTGAAAATTTGATCAAGCACGAACAATAAAACACACACGCACAAATCTCTCTCTCTCTCTCTCTCTCTCTCTCTCTCTCTCTCTCTCTCTCTCTCTCTCTCTCTCTCTCTCTCTCTCTCTCTCTCTCTCTCTCTCTCTTTCTCTCTCTCTCTCTTTCTCTCTCTCTCTCTCTCTCTCTCTCTCTCCTTCACCAACCACCCTCATCCATGTATATTTACAGGTTGAAATGTATATTTGAAAACCCGCACAGCCTTCGGAGGTTGAGGCTTAACCACACCGCCTCGAACGTAAACAAGGACCTCGGAGACTAAACATTTTAGCCCCACATAATCGTTAGTGTGATTTTGTTTTCTTTTTTTTTTCAATTTCTCTTGTCTTTCGCATGTTTTCTCTCCTTCTTCTAATACTTTTTCTCTCTCTCTTTTTCTTACTTTTCTTCTCTTGAAGTTTCGTTTCAGGGTTTGATTATTGGGAAACGAATGAACTGCCTTTTTTCTTGTATTTGGTCGTCGTAATATTGTATTCTAAGATTTTGTATCGTAAGATTATTTGTTTGTTAGGTCCGTTCAACATTATTTTTGTATAGGAAACGATTGGTTATAATTCTGAGCATTTCATACATTCTGATTCATTCAAGTATTAAGCTAATAATGTTATCTGTCTATTCATATACTTAGTTTTCATATATTTATTTTTCTTATATATATATTTTTTCAACTTATTCATTTGCGAACACACACACATATACATACCTATATATATATAAATATATATAAATATATATACTTATATATGCATATATATATATATATATATATATATATATATATATATTGTTGCTAATTGTCATTAGTATTAATTCTTTTATATTTCTTTTTAATTCTTTTATTTTTTTAATTCGTTAATAAATCATATATTACCGACAAAATGTCCCAAAATATTTCAATCGGAATAAACCTCAAATACCGAACAGTAATCAAAACGACACAAATATGCCGTAGAGATATATGCATACATCTTAACCCATTGGCCACGGATTTATGTTCTGTCCCCTCTTGGTTTTGGTGAATTTTGCTACCTACAGATGGCTCCACATGTACTCAGCCGGCAAGGAGTCTATCAGTAGGCCCTAGTTACCGACCCTGATTTTCCCATTCATTGAATTGGCGGGAAAATTAATATCATTGCTTTCGATGCTGTTATTATTGTTACTGATGTTATGATGATTGAATTGTCATTAGAATATTTTTGACAATAAGATGATACAAAAAACCCTTTCCGAAAGTGAAGGAAAAGGCTAAACAGGTGAAATAGGTAGTTCTTGATAACTGGCTATTTGGTAATTAAGAACTTGTAGAGCCATCTATGTGTAAATACAATAAATAAACGTGTATCAAAGTGGGTATGGCATCTATTCT